GGGAGGGAGAGAATGAGGTGGGGGAAGAGAGGGAGGGAGGGAGGGAGGGAGGGAGGGAGGGAGGGAGGGAGGGAGGGAAGGAGAGAGAACCAGTCCTATACGGGATAATCTGTATCACTTGCCTTCCTCCATGGGCTCAGGAATCATTGTGGAAGAGGAAAGAACTTAAGAATCAAAGGTGATGGATGAGTCCAGGGAAACATTGTCTTCTGGACACGACAGGGAAGTTGCACATATAAAATCACAGTGCTTGGGACAGCAGGCATAAATTCTGTGCAAGATCAAGTCAGACAAAATCACAACATGGAGAGAGGAAGTGGTTGCAAAGTCCCACTTCTAATAAAAGAACAATTGGCATCTGTGAACTATTTGGGTAGGGAGGGCCAGGTTTCTTCACATATGCTCACATATTTACATATTCTGCACATGCTCCAGGATGTGGTCTTAAGCCCTTGTACATACAGGTATCACTAAGTGAACTCAATAGTTTTAAAAAAAAGAACAAGTACATGATAAGTGGATATTAGACATAAAACAAAGGATAGCCACCCTATAATTCACAACCCCAGAAAAGCTAGGCAACAAGGAAAACCCTAAGAGTGACATATATGGATCCCCCGGGGAAGAGTAAATAGACAGGAACTCCTGAGAAAATTGGGACCATGTGGAGGGGAGAAGGGAGAGCATACAGGAAGTGGGAGGGGAAAAGGGAAGGGGGTAGGAGAACATAAGTGAACAGGATGGCTGAGAAGAGGGAGGACAGAGAGGGAGAGCAAGGAAAGAGATATCTTGATAGAGGGAGCCATTATGGGGCTAGCAAGAAACCTAGCACTTAGGGAAATTCCTAGAAATCCACAGGGATGACCCCAGGTAAGACCCTAAGCAATAGTGGAGAGGGTGCCTGAACTGGCCTTCCCCTGTTATCAGATTGATGACTACCCTATATGTCATCATAGAAACTTCATCTAGCAACTGATGGAAACAGATGCAGTGATCCACAGTTAGCACTGGACCAAGATTCTGGAATCAGTTAAGAGACAGAGGAATGATAATATGAGCAAAGGGATCAAGACCATGATGGGTAAACCCACAGAAACAGCTGACCTGAGCTAGTGGGAGTTCACTGACTCTGGACTGATAGCAGGAGAACCTGCATAGGACCAAACTAGGCCCTCTGAATGTGGGTGGCAGTTGTGTGGCTGGGGCAGTCTGTGAGCTCACTGGCTGTGAGACCAGGACTTATCCCTAGTGCTTAAAATGGCTTTTTGAAGCCAATTCTCTTTGGAGGGATACCTTCCTCAGCCTAGATACAGGGGACAGGGCTTTGGTCCTGCCTTAAAGTGATGCTCCAGACTTTGTTATCTCCCCGATGGGAGGCCTCACTCTCTCTGAGGAGTAGATGGGGGTTGGGGTGGGTGGAAGGTGGGGGGAGTAAGAGGAGGGGAGGGGGAAGAAACTGGGATTGGTATGTAAATTGAGAAAAGATTGTCTAAAAATTAAACAAAAAAAGAAAAAAGAACATAACCTAAAAAGTACATGAAGTTGGCAGAGAGAACTGATAGTGAAGAAAGGGAAGGATTTACATGGGAGGGAATGAGGAATGAATTAGAGCAAAACACATCATATGTATGCATTTATAAAATTTTCAATGAAAGGAGAAAAAAACAATGTCGGGAAACTTTTGAGAATTTTTCAAACCAGTTTCTGTAATTTTTCTTATTTAATTTCAGAAGAAAATTGTTATAATTTCTTATCACCTTAAAAAATAAAAAAATAATTCATTAAAGACCTCAACATTGTTATTTCATGTCAATAGTACCTATAGGTATTTCTAGTAAAACTCAAGATCTTGAGAAATTATCTATAGTGTCAGGTATAGGTATTTCAGAAATTTGAAATAATTTCTGATTAAAATATAAGATTCCATATGGTCTTTAAATTTTTCATTTAGTTTTATGTTTAAGAAGTAGGCAATGGGGGAATGTGGAGAGCTGTCTCAGCAGTTAGGAGCACTTGTTGCTCTTGCAAAGGATTTGGGTTCAATTCCCATGCATGAAGATGGTGATTCATAACCATTTATAGCTCCATTTTCAGGGGATGTGACCCCTCCTTCTGACCCCTTAAGGCTCCAAACACACAATATATTAATGGAGGCACACAAACAAGCAAATATATCTATGCAGGCCAAACACTCACACCTAAAACAAATAAATCCAATAAATACTTTTTTTATTTATTAAAGATTTCTGTCTCTTCCCCACCACCGCCTCCCATTTCCCTCCCCCTCCCCCAACCAAGTCCCCCTCCCTTGTCAGCCCAAAGAGCAATCAGGGATCCCTGCCCTATGGGAAGTCCAAGGACCACCCACCTCCATCCAGGTCTAGTACAGTGTAGGCAAAACCTTTTAGTGAACAGAGTAGCTGATTGACAGCCAGATTGTCATGGGTTCAATTTGGATTTTATCTCCATATTCTTCTTTATCTACTAGGAATTTATAAGGACATCCATAGAAAACTCTTAATATTTTCCAGAATTGCTTAAGATCCAGCAATGGACTCTGTATTTATACAAACATAAAATGCAACATATAATTTCATCATATCATGTCTTAGAACTTTCACAAAATATTTATTATGTATGTTCTGATATTTAAATAAGTAATAGCATCACTCAACAATGCTTTACCTGGGTAGACAGAGTCAACTGCAGTAGTCAGTCCTTACAGAAATCATTGCTAAAATCTAGGATGTCTCTGATTAAACTGCTAATAACACAGAAAGGATGCTGATATTATACTTATTAATGATAACACAGTCATTAATAAAGGGGGTCATTATAATCAACTAGGCAATAATTTATAAACACCCAATTAATCACTAAGCCTTGTTCATCCCACCTTCTTACTATATCTTGAATAATCTTTTTTTTTAAATCTCACACATTTATTGTAACCTGATAATAACATAACATTTATATGAATAAATGTTTCAGGCTGTGCTCCCAACAGAGGACACCTTTAAAAAACACTATTTCCTCTTCAACTTCTTGAGTGTTTGTGTTTTCTAGTTGAAAACACTTTGGAATAGAATAATATTATCTTTCAGCATGATCAGACACAGTTGTTTCCTTGACTTTTTTTTTAGAGTGAAGCTCTTCTGCATCATCTAATACAAGGTTCATGTACTCATCAAAGCCAAATAATACAATTTTCTCTCTGTATATTCACTTGCTCCTACAGCCAGACCTGAATCCGAGGCCTATTTTGCAAGTATCTGAAGATGAGGTTGATGGGCTGCACCATTACTTTCTGATTTATTGCTACATGTACTGTTAAGCCTAGGCCTTTATTTTATGATTAAGCTGTTGTATTAACTTCAGAACTTCAATTTGAACTTTTTTCTAATCCAGCATTTCCACTTAAGCCAGAGTAGTTTAATGGAGATACAAGTCTGATCATTTTACTCTTCTGATTAAGCCATTCTCTAGCTGCAGTATACAGCATTAATTTTTTTAAAATGAAATGGAAGGCCTTTTGCCATCAAGCCTTTCTGTTCACTGTGTTTCATCGACTATTTTGTCATACACATTCTGGACTCCTGAGCCCGAAAATTTTCTTATGCTTTCTAGCTTTTAATATTGCCATTTTCTTTACATGAGGTCAATCTCTTAATCTGAAATTATTTTCTTCCCCAGAAACCTGGTATACGATATGAATCTCAGAACAAACTAAAGCTAGCTGCATGAGTCAAACATATCTTTTGTCTTTCTTCATGACCTATCTCATTAGTTTGTAAAGCTTTACAGAATTAATTCATAATTACTTGCCTGTCTTGTGTAAAACAGTCTGAAAATGAGCCGGGTGTTGGTTATGCATGCCTTTAATTCCAGCACCCCAGAGGCAATGGCAGGTGGGCACTGGAATTCAATGTAAGCCTGGTCTACATAGCAAGTTCCAGGGTATCCAGGGCTTCTTAATGAGACCCTGTGTCAGGGAGAGAGGGAGGAAGGGAGTGAGAGAGAGAATGAGAGAGAGAGAGAGAGAGAGAGAGAGAGAGAGAGAGAGAGAGAGAGAGAGTTGAGAATGCATTCATAAAATTGTAACTGTCTTCTTGACTTCTTGACTTCAGCTTTTTCAAGAAATATATTTGGGAAACTTTCCCCAGAAACCTGAAAATATTTCCATGGTATCTGGTTTGATTATAGTGCTGCCAAAATAATACAAACGTGCCTTTAAATATGCACTTTACTATATAACATGTTAGCTTATCACCCTTCAGCTAATCTACCAGCTTTTCAATTAGGGACTCTGGAGAAATCAAAGGGAAGAGCTACAAGGAGGTAAATTAGTGGAACAAAAAATGTGTGTACTCTGAGCATCCAATTGTCCCAGTAACAAAAGACCAAATGCATATCAGAAAAATAAAAGCATTTACGAGAAAGGTGGTGATTCTCACTAATGAGGCCTCCTCCGGGGAGAAACTTAAGTCTTTATGTCTGTACTTTACCCTAAATGTCAATGTACACTGAAAATGAGCGGTATTGAGGTATGTAAGGAGTGGAGGGTGGCATTGGGTTGGAGACAAGAAATGAATAGAGTGACAAACAAGATAGGGTCGTCACATTTACTAAAAAAATACTTGGGGCATGATTATATCAATAAATAATTTGTTATTTATCTCAAATAACATTTAACTGGGCATCCTGTATTTTATCTGGTAACGCTAAGAAAAGAAAAATAATAGTATTTCGATTTCCTGGGCTGTGTAAAAACAAAACAAAACAAAACAAAACAAAACAAAACAAAACAAAACAAAACAAAACAAAACAAAACAAAAGACCCAACAAAGCCCAGCCCCAGCGGTAAAAGAAAAAAAGCTACACCTAAGTGTAGGCATCTTCAGACACAGGCTGTTTCCGGTGTCAGACAGCAGCGGGGGAAGGGGGAGGGGAGGCAGTGAAAGCCGCTGAGCTCAGTCCGCTCGTGTCCCACAATCCTCCGCTCTCGGTTCCTCTTTACTCGCTCAAGATGGCGCTGCTCGCGACACATTCTTGGCGCTGGGCAGCCGCGGCGGCCGCTTTCGAAAAACACAAACATTTGGCTGTTCTGACCCGGCCTCTAGTCTCCATCTGCGGCTCAGGCCCGCGATGGGGGTCGCAGCAGAGCGGCGCGTCAGGAAGCACTCGAATCTACCAGGTGTGTTGCCAAGCGCTTGGAAGAGTAGGATGAGGGGCAAGGGACCTAGTAGGGAAAGGGTTGCCCTCTTGACCTTAGGGCAGAGAGAGCGCCTAGAAGAAAGATTGTCAGGCCGAATGTCGAGTAGCAGCGAGTGTAGGAAGTTAAGGTTAGTAATTCGAGGAAAAGAGACAAAACATTTGGGGACCGCGTAGAGCCCGGAGGTTTCAGGCACCGGGCACCTGGAGTGCCAGTCTTATAGGGTTTTGCGGGCAGTTTTTTTTTTTTTTTTTTTTTTTTTTTTAAGTGTAAGAAAGACGGGGCTAATTTCAAAAGTTGGGCACGGAACTTGGTGCTAAATTGCCTGTGGTTCATATTTTATCAAATCAGAAGGAACAATTTCGAGTGCACTTCAAGATGACAGTACGCCATCAATAAAAACTGAATTGGTACTCTAACTCCCTCACTGACAGGCGTGATCCCTGATAAGCAAAAAAGTCATATTTATCTTTTCTCCAAAATGCATACTTCTCTAAGCTATAAGCTTGATTATCCTTTGCTATGACTATTCAGTTATGTTCTTTGTGTACAGGTAACGTTGGAAAGCCTGAAGATTTTTCCCTTAGGAGTGTGACAGTGGTTATGGTACTTCGGAATATTGGCTTTCATTATCTCATTCTAGAATAGTCTTTTAAAATCATCTGTAGTACTTGTACTTAGTTTATGTATTTATTTCTCATATATTTACAGTATTTTAATTGCCACCACATGTTCATCAGTATAATCTTAATATTGTCATTTTTGTTCGGAAAACAATTTTGCTTATTTTTGATTCTTTGTTAACAGATATCTAATGTCTACCATTATAATTATAAACACTGTTCAGATAATAGAGGCCAAAAGAAGGATATAGTTAGACCTTCAAGGATTGATTTTTTTTAAAAGATAAGATCTTGCTTTGTAGTCCAGTTTGGCCTTGAATTTGTGATCCTGCTGCTTCAGCCTACTTCGTGTTGGGATGACAGGCAAAAGGTGACAAGAATTAAAATTAAAAATATTTTAAATTGACAGTTTTATATATTTATGGAGTGTGGTGTGATATTTGGTACATGTATAGAAGTGATAGCAATTGATATAGCTGTCATGCCAAATATTTGTTATTAATGTACAACATAATACTTTAGAGTTGAAAGAAGTCTAACTATTATGTTATGAAATGTTGGTGGTTAAATCAGCACTTTTTAAAGATGAAATTAAATAATGTAGAAAAGAAACTAGTGCTTTTTTTTTTGTTTTGTTTTTCGAGTCAGGGTTTCTCTGTGGCTTTGGAGCCTGTCCTGGAACTAGCTCTGTAGACCAGGCTGGTCTCGAACTCACAGAGATCCGCCTGCCTCTGCCTCCCGAGTGCTGGGATTAAAGGCGTGCGCCACCAGCACCCGGCTGAAAGTAGTGGTTTTTGGATATTAAGGTAGGAATTAGTTTGTGAACTTTCGCTTGCATGTACACACATACCCCACATGTGTGTGATTACTGCGACGGACTGTAAGATGCATTTTTTCCGAAGTATGCTCCAGAACCATAGCCACTAGTTTGATGTGGCCATTAAAATTTTAAAAAATTAATTTTTCAGTTGTATTAGCCACATTTCAGATATCCAATAACCAAGTGTGGCTGGTCCCTACTGAGAGCATAAAATAAAAATTCTGTTGAACAATGCTGTTTTCAAGAATGTTATATCTATCCCTTCAAATTTTGCAAGTGAGGAAACGAAGTGTTGCTGAGTGAAAAGCTTCAAGGCTGTTCATTTCTTTATTGCTTGTGTCAGGGACTTCTGAAATAAGATCCTAGTAGACACTAAGGACACAGTAAATGTTGACTTGTACAGATACCCACTAATAATGAATAGAAGACTATTAATGGTGGGAAACATCTTAAGTGTAAAAATTATTCTTAAAACCAGGGGATTTTTATGTATTATTTAAACTGTATGGTTCATTATACAGCTAACCATTGTACAACATAATTTTATAAATCACCTGGCAGTGCAAAGGATCAAACCCAGGGCCTTTCACAAGGTTGGTAAGCATTATACCACTGAGCTACATTCCCAGTCCATAAATTTTGTATAAATAGGGGTTTATTTCATTAATATTTAAAATAGTAGAAATTGAGGTATCATGTACTTTCTCAGCACCTTTTAGCATAAAGAGTCCTTATTTGTATTAACCCTGACATTTACCAATACCCTATGTTCATTTGCTTCTTAAAATATTTTTGAGATAATTTATATACCATATAATTCATCCATGTAGAAGGACAGATTAGTGGATTTTACATATTCAGTGATATGTACCACCATTGCCACATTCAATTTTGCCTCAAAAAGAAATCTGCTACTTTTTGGCTATCTTCTTTCTATACCTTTTCCCTTCTAACCATCCCTAAGCAACCACTAATTTATGTGTATTCTTTATATATTTGTCTATTCTGGACATTTAATATGAATGAAATTATGTGATATGTGATCTCATTGTTTGATGTTTTATTTCCTTGTGACATTACCTTATGTAACCCAGGCTGGCTGACCTTAAACTCTTTATGTAGCCTACTCTATCTTTGAACTGATTCTTTTTCTCTCTGCCTCCTGGAATTACAAGGCATGCACAAACATACCTGTCAGTATATGATCTCTTTTGACTGTTTCATTGATTTTTCATGGTTTATTCATATTTTGGCACATATAAATATCACGTTATTTATTGTGACCAAATTATTGTTTGGATATACAAGGTTTTTTGTCTTTGTTATTTTTTTAAAATGGACTTATTGAGTAGTTTTGGCCTAGAATTTGATGTGTAGATCATGGTGTCCTTGACATCATGGAGGTGCTAGAATTAAAGACACATACTGCCACACCTAGCATGATGTGCAAGATTTTTGTTTATTGTTGTTGCACATGTATGGGTCAGAGAAAGTTTTGTGGAATCAGTTCTCTCCTTCCACCGTTAAGTGGGTTCTGGGGATTAAACTCAGGTCCCTAGGCTTGTGTGGCAGGCACTTTGTGTGCTGAGCCTTCTCTACAGCCCCAGGATTTTTTGGGTTGATTTCACTAGTGCTTAGAATATTAATATATAAGTTTTGCATGGGATTAACTTTTTGTTTCATTTAGGTACACAAACTTAAGGAATTGCCATATTGGTGTGTTCTGTTTCTCTCTGGCACACTTTCTCTTTCTCTGCCCACCTTTCAACCCCCTCTTTCATTTTGGACAGTGTCTCACTATGTATCTCTGCCTGGCCTGGAATTTGATGTATAGACCAGTCTGGCCTGGAACTCACAGAGATCCAACTGCCTTGGCCTCCAGAGTACTGGGATTAAAGGTGTGCACCACCATACTGGCTCTTTCTAGTTATTTGTAGCTCAGGGTTGCCTTGAAATACAGATCTTCCTGTCTCAGCTTCTTAAGTATTGAGATTTCAGGCTTGAGTCACTACAGACGGTTTAAAATCTTTTTCCATGCCCTAGCAGTGCCGCAGTTCTATGAATTTAACCCAGGGCCTCATGCATATTGAGCAAGCACACCATTGAGTCACACTTTCAGACCTCATACTAATTTTTAGAGTGTCTGTATGTTTTAAATTATCAGTTCACACCAAATTTGTTAAATGATTTTTAACTCTAGCCATTCCAGTGGGCATATGAAGTGGTATTATATCTTAATTTTGGTTTGCATTCTCATTATGAATGAGGATATTGAGTATTTTTTCACTTGCTTATTGACTATATATCTTCTTTGGAGATATACTTATTTATGTCCTTTGTCTATTGAAGGTTATTGGGTTTCTTTTTGGTGCTAAGGGCTTAAGCTTCTGAAACCTCAAAGCTGCTCCCCAGTGACACACTTTTGCTAAGGCCACACATACTCCAACAAGGCCATACCTTCTAATAGTGCCACTCCATATGGGCCATTTTCATTCAAACCACCACAATTGAGCTGTACCTCCTGCTGATGTTTTTATTTGTTATTATTTATTTGTAAGTTTTAAAATATATATTCTAGATACAAGTCCCTTCCCTTATACAGAATGTTTACAAATATTTTTTCTTATTGTGTGGCCCTTCTTTTTAGCTTATGGATAGTGTTCTATCAAGTATGAAAGTTTTAAATTTTCACATGTTGGTGTATGCAAGGCTCTGGGGTTCATTCCCAGCATAACCCTCCCCCCCAAAATCTTTTGATTCTGTGATGGAAAATTTAAAAATTGTTTTTCTTGATTATACTTTTGGCGCTGTGTCTAGGAGTCTGTTACCTAATCTTAGATCACAAAGATTTACCTGCATGTTTTGTTTTTCTAAAGAATTTTATGTTTATTTTAGTAAGATACAGAGATATTACCCATGTATACTTTGGGTTCCTTCAACCCTTCTCTGTTTTATTTTATATATTTTTAAGAGTTGTATTTGTAATGATATTTTATCATAATTATTAATTTATATCGTTTTTATGTTTTAGGTTTTTGTGAAAGAGGGTTTTATGTAGCCCAGGCTGTCCTCAAACTCACTGTGTAATTCAAGGATGACCTTGAACTTCTGATCCTTCCTCTGACGTGTGTCACCACGCCTAGGTTATTCAGTTCTGGGTATCCAGATCAGGGTTTTGCACATGATAATCAAATACTCTTACAAACTGTAGCACAGCTCCATTCAGCCCCTAGTTTTATGTCCTTGAGAAAAGAGAGAAAAAGGGAGGACCAAGATATATCTATACCTTTTGTTATATAACCTTACTTATCATATATTCAGCAGATATGGAAAGAGTCTACAACTTTGTCTACTTCTTGATTTTAGTGCAATTGCTTTGAGTTTCTCTCTGTTGAAGTTGGTGTTGGCTATGGCTTGCTATAAACTGCTTTAATTTTGTTGAGGTATGTCCCTTGTATCAGTAAGTGTGTGAGAATTTTTATCATGAAGGGGTGTTGGAATTGTCAAAGGCCTTTTCTGTATATGATATGATTATGTGT